TTCTAAAACAATTCTTGACATGTGTCAAAATTCAATTGATTGACTAATATATATCCCAAACTGATTAATAGAATTTTGCCATTTGGATAACACGCTCTTAAACTCATCAATTACGCCAGACTCGGATGACACATTCAACCATTTGGTTGCTACACCACATCGCATGATGGATTCCATATTAGCTTTTATGGTGTTCCAAACTACGATTTACTACATTTGGAAGGAACAAAATTCTCGGCAGCATCAACGTTGCTGGATGGATTATGTCCTCCTTGTCCGACTCTTACTACAATGGTCGAACTTATTGCTTTGATACTATAGTATCGAAAAATTTGGTTCCAAAAGCTTTGCAAATCTCTCACTAATCAAAAACAAAGAACTTATTACTCCACTGAAAAGAAATACTGCAAATGAAGAAATAAAATAAATAGTCGAACTTATTAGTATGAAACCATATTATCAAAAATTTAGCGCGAACGAATTGAGTATTTGATATAAAAATTTTCATAATCTCTTAATAATCAAAAACAAAGTACTTATTACTTTGTTGAAAAGATGAAAAGAATGAGAATAAAGAAATAAAAAAACGGTCAAACTTACCAGATTACCAAAAATTTGGCACGAAAAGATAGTATCTAATAAAAGTACTTTCCAAAATATATCAGTAATCAAAAGCAGAGAACTTATTACTTTGTTCAATACAGAAAAGACCGCGAATGAAAAAATAAAAGAAACGATCAAATTTATTTTTCAAATACCGGATTACCAAAAATTTACCCCGAAAAAACTAAGTATCTCATAAAAACTTTCCAAAATCTCTTATTAATCTTTTTTTTTTTGTCGTCTGGATTGATTATTTATTGCAAATTATGAGAATTGTTACATAGACGATTCTACAACGGACAATTCCTTCCGACCCTTATTAGATCCACGACCTCCTTTACCTCCTTCTTCATGCTCACCTCCTTCACCTCATTCTTCATGGTTTTGATGGACACTTCCGTCTCTGTGTAGAATCCTGGCGAACGGATATAATTGTACATCGCTGAGATCTCCTGCACACTTGCCTCCAATAATCTGCAAATTTATTAATAAATCGCAGTATCTGGGACTCGAACCCCAGACCTCTGGGTATAGAAGCATTAATGAACCCTTGGTCAACCAATGGACAAAAGAGGCTTCCACTAAATCTCTTAGTATTAATCAAAGCAAAGTATTTATTACTCTGTTAAAAAAAGAAAGACCACGAATGGAGAAACAGAAAAAAAAAACGGTTGAATTTATTTCTCAGATTCTTGATTACAGAAAAGTCAGCGCGAAAGAATAGAGTATTTGATTTAAAAAAAATTCCAAAATCTCTCATTAATAAAAATTTACTATTTATTATGTAAAAAAAAGACCGCGAATGAAAAAATAAAAATAACGGTCAACTGATTTCTCAAATACCAGATTACTGAAAATTGGCGCTAAAGAACATAGTAGTTGATAAAAACTTTCCTAAATCTCTCATTAATCAAAAGTAACTTGAAAAAGACCATGAATGAAGAAAAAACACAATTGAATATGTTCCTTAGATATTAGATTACCAAAATTTTAGCTTGAAAAAAAAAAAACTTTCCGAAATCTCTCATTAATAAAAAGTAAAGTACATTTTTCTTAAAAAAAAGACCGCGAATGAAGAAATGAAAATAACGGCCAAACTGATTTCTCAAATACCAGATTACCGAAAATTGGCGCGAAAACAACAGAGTATTTGATAAAAACTTCCCTAAATCTCCCACTAATCAAAAACAAAATCAGTTCATTACTATCTTGAAAAAAGACCGCGAATGAAAACAGAAAAAACGGTCAAACTTTTTTTCTCAGATACCAGATTACCGAACATTTACCGCGAAAAAACAGAGTATCTAATAAAACTTTCAGAAATCTCTCAGTAATCAAAAACACAATCCTTACCACCATTAGAATTTAATGATCATTAACACAAAACTCTTAATTCAACCTTACGAAACATCTATTAGACTATTACCCAAAAATAAGCCAATCCAATTAATAACATACCCAATACACAACATAGAGCAGGAGATACGCGTCAAGATCTGATAGGATTAAAGATTACACTTATCGTGCTCTCTTCCTCATCAGATTCATTTTGCGGACTCCTCCTCATCTTATTAAATCCGCTTAATTGTTTTTGGGTCCGCCCTTTTTCTCTTTCACATCTTTTCTCTCGCAACACAATTCTCTCATCGCCGGTCAAATACTTGTCTCTCTCTCTTACACTCTTGTCTTGTCTCGTCTCTTTGAAGCTGAGATGGACGCAGGTGGCGCGTACAATCCACGCACTGTTGAAGAGGTGTTTAGGGATTTTAAGGGTCGTAGAGCTGGCATGATTAAGGCTTTAACCACTGGTAAAAAAATTGTTTTTTTTTTTTCCATTTTCTCACCGGAAAACTGAATTTTGTGATTACCCTTTTGTGTGCAGATGTTCAGGAGTTTTTCCGGCTTTGTGATCCCGGTGAGTGTTGAGATTTGTTTGTGGGTTTTATTTGCCTTAACGAAAGTTTTGATTTTTATTGTGTTTTGAATTTTTCTTTGTTATGCTCTGTTTTAATCTGAGTGTTGTTGTTTCAGTGATAGCATTTAGGGTTTCATAGTTTCTCTTCTCTGTTTGTGAATATAATTGTGATTTTGTTAGATTTATTTGAATTGCGTTTCAGAGTGTAAAGTTTTGATTTTTGTTTGACTTGAATCGATTGTGTTTTCAACAAATAAAAAATTTGTTTGCAAGCCCTGTGATTGTTATTGTTCCTCGCCGGCGAAAGTTTGGTTTTTTATTTTTATTTTATTTGTTTTTGAATTTGCTTCGTTGTGGTTTGTTTCAATGTGATTGTTGTTTCAGTGAAGCATTAGGGTTCATAGGTTCTCTCGTCTCTGTTTATGATTAAAGAAATCTTATTTTTTGTCAGATTTATTTGAATTGGGGTACATAGTTTGAGCAGAGTCAAAGTGTTGATTTTTGTTTGACTTGGTTTTAATTTCAGGTTTATGGATAATTGATTTTAAAAAAAAAATTGTTCATTTTGTATGATTTGAATCTGTGAAAATCATGATTGGGAATTAGTCTTACCACCATTTTTCTTTGGTTCTGCATTGTTCTCAATTGGAGAACAGATTAAGCGATTTGTTGAAAATTCGTTTTTAGGGTTTTGGTTCTGTGTCTCCTTAGATTTGCTCATTGATTTTTTATTGTAATCAATGATTCAATTTGAAAAAAGGAAACAGTTTTGATTGTGTTTTTCACAATTCAGACTCTGTGATAAAAACTCATGTTGTCTTGCTTTCCTTGTCTACCTGTATCAATGTATCGCGTTGTTTCAGATGTTAATTAGTCAGAGAATCATTGTGTGTGTCTTTGCTTTATGTCATTTGGCTTAGTGTTTATGGTGCTCTTTCCATTAAGAGATTTTTATGTTTTGAGTTATGACAACTTGATTATCTGCTGTCTATTTGTTTTTTATGTTTAGACAAGTAATCGCGTGCGACGTGTTCTTTTCCAATAGGGTCACATCTTAAATATGGAGTGTTGGATTGTGTTTGCCATTATTGGTTATTTGTTTGTACAAATTTATGAACATGGAATCAGTTTTGATACTTTTGCTTTCGCAGTTTTTCATGTATTTTGATATTGCAATGCTTATTTCCTTATTGTTCTCATTTTCCTTTTGTGATTATAGAAAAGGAGAACCTTTGCCTTTATGGCCATCCCAATGAGCACTGGGAGGTCAATTTGCCAGCTGAAGAGGTTCCCCCGGAGCTCCCAGAGCCTGTCTTGGGTATAAACTTTGCCCGAGACGGGATGGCGGAAAAGGATTGGCTGTCCCTTGTTGCTGTCCACAGTGATGCCTGGCTTCTTGCTGTTGCTTTCTTTTTTGGAGCCAGGTTTGGATTTGACAAAGCTGATAGGTATGTATGTTCTTGTCTTTTTAGAGTCTTATCTTCTTGCATCTATGTTCCTTGGTGGTATAGATGCAAGCCTCTCATTGTTCTTCTCCTGCTGATCTTATGGACCTAGGTTCAAGGTTTATGTTGCTCTCTGGGACTGATGTTCTTTCACATTCGTTGCAGGAAGAGGCTTTTCAATATGGTGAATGACCTCCCAACAATTTTCGAGGTTGTGGCTGGCACTGCTAAGAAACAAGGAAAGGATAAGTCCTCTGTTTCCAACAACAGCAGCAACAGATCCAAATCAAGCTCCAAGGTAAAAAAATGTCCTTTTTTCTCCACTTTAGTTTTAATGTCCCAAATGGTATGTTAGTTAAGTCGGCACATTCATTGACTTTTTCTGAGTAAGCTACGTCTCATTTACTCGTCATCTTGGCATCGAATTTGTATGCGCTTTTATGGCATGAGTGGCATTAACACTTCAGTATACTGTTTATTGTCCATTTAAGTTGATCCTTGTTCTAAATCTGTTTTTTTTTGTCTCACGTTACAGCGAGGATCTGAATCCCGTGCCAGGTTCTCAAAGCCAGTGCCCAAAGATGAAGATGAAGAGGAAGAAGAGGAAGGTGTGGAAGAGGAGGATGATGATGAGCAAGGTGAAACACAGTGTGGGGCATGTGGTGAGAGCTATGCAGCTGATGAGTTCTGGATTTGCTGTGACCTCTGTGAGATGTGGTTTCATGGAAAGTGTGTGAAGATAACACCAGCAAGGGCTGAGCACATCAAGCAATACAAGTGCCCATCTTGCAGCAACAAGAGGGCTCGTTCCTAAACTTGTGGCCGCTTCTGTGTATCTACCTTTGCATATGATGAACAGCTTAACTGTTTGGTTAGATCAGATTTGTCATATGGATTTGGTAATTTTAGGCCCTTTTCGCCATTTTTAGGAAGACATTTTAGTTTTTCATTGTTACATTTTGGCGATTGAGGAATAACTCTTTGTTTAGGGTATGATCTTTGGTCTGTTTTATGTTTGTTTATTAACATTCTTAAACTCAATCAAAGTATTTTGGTTAGTTTTATCATTTGGTTTCTTCGTCTTAACACAACAGGGATTGGAGAAACTGAGACTATAAATGATTTATCATATATCATTTCTGCTTCTTTGTTGCCAGGCACTTCAAGAACTCGTAGGTTGTGATCATCGTTGTTGCGGACATCGACATTGAGACCCACCTTGGTCCCAATCCTCTGTAACAAGCCCTAAATCCTCCTTCCTTCATCAAACTCTTCACCGACTGCATCACTGTCATTGCTCGTCTCCTCCCGTTCTCTTCTGTGTCTAGGACTTGCAACCGCGTCTTGATTGTGTCTACTGGCATAGTTACTAAAGCCGAGCAACCGCTTGCTGTAGCTGCACTCAACGCCTGAACCACCACTGAGCCACCAGCATCTTCCTTGTGGTTGTAGGAGTGCTTGTATCGAGACCAAATTGATTTTTGAGCCAAAGAATAGGACGCCCACCATACGGCATTTGAAGGCGCGTAAGTCAAGATCGAGATCCCAAATCCTCTGTAGAACCCTCTTGGTCCATCTGTGTAAAGAATCTTTCTAAAAGCATCAAACCCATTTCTGTATCTGCAAGAATTCATCACTCCAGGAATATGCTTACTCAAGGAAAGATCGCCTTGAACCATAAGCCGTTGACTCACAACATCAATCGGGGTCCAGACAACCTGAGCAGCAACGGCCGAGGTCAAACCAGCTGCACCATTAGCAACAGCCAAAGCCGTAGTATCCGACAATCCTAAACTAACAGTTGCTTGACCTACACTACTCTTCGTAATCTCTAGAGCTGTCATATAGAGAGCACGAGCCGGGATAGTTCCAAGCAAAGATGTTCCAAACCCCTTGTAAAACCCTCTTAGACCCTCAAGTCTAGCAATAGCCAGAGAAATGTTGGCGCAAGAGACACGAGTCGGAGAGACTTGTTGCCTTGTTTTGAGAACTACAATAGGGTAAAGAGCAGTGGACACACCGGAGAAAAGAGCAGCACCGAGAAAGAAAAACCTCGATTTATCAAGCATTTGCCAATCTATATCATTAGACATATGTACCTGAGAAGAAGAAGAAGAAGATGAAGTTGTTGCTCTTCTCTTCTCTTCCATCAAAGCACCTAAACTCATATTTTGAGCTAACCAAATCAAGATTCTAACTTGAAACTTCTCACCGAACTAAAGCTACCAAAAAGTGTTTTGACCTCAATGAGAGCTAAGAAAGAGATGAGAATAGAGTGTATGATTGAACTGTGATCAAGAAAGAGAGAAAATCTCTGTGGATTTATTAGCTACAAAATCTGTGAACTCGTATATTAAAAAATTGTAGTGAAATAGAGTCAGAGCCAAAACGATGGGTCGTGTGGATAACATAAAGGAGCGGCCTTTAACGGACTCAAGAGGTGTGTGAGGAGGAGGAATGGGACTGGACACGTGGCGAATGGTGGTTGGTTTATATTAGAGAAATTCGTAGTTTTTAAGGTTACATGAGGCTGAGAAGAGAGTGGCTTCTGTCGGAATCGCCCACTTGTTTCATCTTTCTGTGGATTATATTTATTTATTTTCTTTTGTTTTACTGATTTCTGTGGGTTTTTTTTTTTCATTTGATTTTTTTTGGGTGAAATAATGTATTTATTAATAACTGTTTTAATTACATTTTTTTTTTAGAAAATTGGATGCATATGTATAGTATTTGCCTATTTGGTGGACAAAACTAAATAACATTTTTAAAAAGGTCCAAGACAATATCTAGTCTAGATTGCAAATGCAAGTTGTAGATTGTAAATGAAAGTTTAGTATTTTAGATAATAAGTAAAGTGGATAGTGTTTTGACAAACAGAATCATACTAAATCTGTGATCTATGCTCTCTAGACTAGTACTTAATATAATTGTCTTTACTTTATGTTTATTTTCTTTAATCTTCTCAACCCTATGATCAAATCAGCCCCGGCTTAGAGGGGTGGGACGGAGGTGCGACGGCCCGAGTTTTTTGTTTTTTTAAAAAATTACATGTAAAAGGGTCCAAATATTTTTTTAAAAATATTATTTATATAAAAATTATATTTTAAAAAGTCTAATTCTTTATAAGAAAATGTATAAAAAGCCCCAAAATGTTTAAAATAACAATTTTTACTATAATTTTTTAAAAAAAATCAAGTAAATTTTTTCTTTATATATAATAATAGGCAAAAAAAATTTTTTTGCCCTAAGGCTCCCAAATATATTGGGCCGGGGCTGGATCAAATGCTTGTTTATCATTGTTAAATCGTTTGATTGCATGTTACTTTGTTTGGATTTACTTGTCTTCAGTTTTATTTATGTTTAATTTTGGTTTCATAATTTTTATGTGGCGTTTTCATAAAAGAAAATTCCGGTTTAAAGCCCTAGTCTCCACTTACCGGAGTCAACTTGGGACTCCTCATTTTTCAATGTTTTCTATGTTAGTCACTTTCACATTATTTTAAGTGATGTTTTAGAGATTTTTATTTTATTTTATTTAAAATGATGTTTTAATTTTCTATACAAAAATTAAATTTATATTTTTATTGGTTGAATTAGTTGTAGTTGATGATGTTTTTATGTAAAAGAGATAAATTAAATAAATTTTTTGTGTTTTTTTTTATCTGTATGCAAAAACCTTAAACATCACTTAAAATGAAACAAAATGAATAGTATCAAATGAATATAACGTATGATACTATTTTTACTAAAGTTTCAAGATAATCAATTAAAAACGGATCCTGTTCACCGAGTTTCATTCAAAACCTTAAACATTCACCGATTTTCAAATGAATCTAAAGTATAATACTATTTTTACTTACCAAGTGGAAGTGAAACATTCTCGGTAAAATTCAAATTTAAAGTGAGAGTGGATTGACACCATGCCCCCAAATTTTTACCACTGATGATTTTGCTAACACAATATATGCATGCCATTTTTTGTACAACACTTAAATTGTCTCTCTACATACTGCCTCTCATGGGATGACATAAATTCCACAATATTAGTGACATCTTTTCTTTTCATTTAATCTAATTAGGGGATAATTCAGATTTTCACTATTCGACTAATCCTTTCAGAATAAGTATAGCCGTCGAATAGCACACAAACCAAGTTTTATGCGTCGTCTAAATTATAACACTATTTCAACTAAATAAATAAGAATAGTTAGATAATTTCATGCTCAAGGAAAATAGATCATAGATTTACATGACAGCTCTTCAACAAGTGGAATTCACTACAATTACCACTTGGTTTTCCTATCAAATTATTGATAATGTATTTTTTTATATGCAATTTATTCTTGTCACATAATAATGATAGCAAATTATAAATAGACACACGTTTCTAAGCAATTTCATAAATATTTTCTTCCATCTTGATTCCTTATAGAATAATGTCAAAGAAACGTGTGCAGCTAAATATTCGGACATAACTTATCATTAAAAACAAAGCAACAATTTATTCTGTAAAAGTGCTTTCTTGCGTTTAATTTGAGAAAGGTTTTGCTTATAATGATCTAGACGAAAGGAATATTTTGCTCCATAAGATACATGATAAATAACAATATAAAATATACACGTATTAAGTCAATTCACTACAATCAAAACATGGAAGAGAATGACAAAATCCTTGACGGGTTTCTTGGTGCAGTTAAATTGGCTGTTCATCGTCATTTTTTGTTCCCTACAAACATTTCCTCTAAATGCATAGTGTGTTCCAAAGAGAGACGTGAACCCACCAAAGGCTTGACTTGTAATCAATGTGGGTTTTATATTCATGAAGACTGCATTGAGATCACCATCCACACTCATCATAAGCATCCTCTTAAGCTGCATCGTACCATAGGTTACCGTAAACGTGACCAATGTTTTCTTTGTAAAGAAAAGTTATTGGATATGCTTTACCATTGTTCTCGTTGTGTGTTCGAGGTGTGTATGGCTTGTCTAAAGAAGCCATTAGTTATTGACAAACCAAAAGCTCACAAGCACCCGCTTTCCCTTATGCCCATCAATTCTATCTCCTTCACTTGTGATGCTTGCGGTTCTAGAGATAATGACTCATATCCTTGCACATGTCTTCAATGTTGCTTCATCATCCATAGAGATTGCATTGATTTTCCTCGTGTTATACGTATTAATCGTCATGATCACCGAATTTCTCATGTCGATATTCTTAGTCCGGAGAAGTGGATTTGCGGAGTTTGCCATAATTCTATTAATAACCAATATGGAGCGTATTCTTGCTCGGTTTGTGATTATGCAGTCCATTCCAAGTGTGCAATAAGGGATGATGTATGGGACGGGAAAGAACTCGATGGAATACCTGAAGAAGAGGAAGATATCAAAACCGAGGATATAGCGCCATTTGAGGTGATTGATGACAAAGTTATAAAACACTTTAGTCATGAACATATTTTAAGATATTTTTATCAAGATGTTCTTATTCGCGATGAAAACCAAAGATGCTACGCATGCGTCCTTCCATTCTACTACGATGCATGCTATATTTGCACGCATTGTGATTTCATTCTTCATGAAACATGCGCGAATTTTCCTCGGACAAAAAGGCATGAGTTACACAATAATCACTTTACTCTTTATCCGAATCCCAAACCTGGAGAAGATCTTGAACTTGGCAAAAGCTTTTTCACATGTGTTGCTTGTCAAAGACCAAGCTGCGGTTTTAGGTACGAGAGCGGAAATGTAAAGTTGGATGTTCGTTGTGCTACAATCTCAGACGAGTTTCGCCATGATAGTCATATGCATTCCTTATTCATCCTCTCACTTTTTCCTCGGGAGTGCTCGGCGTGTGACCAAATGGTGTACGGCTCACTGAGTTGTGTTGAACTTGATTTCTTTTTGTGCTTCAAATGTGCTACCTTACCAAACAAGGTCTTCCACAAGAACGACAAACATCCTCTCTACCTACAATACGATGGAAATTTCTACAAGACGTACTGGTGTGAGATATGCGAAAAACAAACTAATCCAAAGCAGTGGTTCTACTCATGTGAAAAATGTGGTTCCACTCTTCATATTGAATGTGTACTCGGTAAATCACCTTACATGAGGCCAGGACACAGTTTTCTTTTATCTAGCCGTGAGTTCCAAGTGGTTTCTAACAACCATATATCCCGACCGGTTTGCACTATATGTTCGTTGCGGTGCAAAGATGCTTTTGTTCTCAAGAGCAAGGATGAAACTGGTACATCATGCCTATGTTCTCTAAACTGTCTCGATTCTCTTGTGATGAGTATGCAACGTAGTACACTGTAATCTAATTAATAATGTAGTGGTATATTGATATAAAAGCTCTTCGTTCAATGATTAGTATAAATATGTAAACTGAATGCAATATGGCAATGTGAAAAAGTTGAGAATGTTTCTGATTTTACCCTTATGATGTTTCCTTTCATGCCCTTGTTGCAAAATTTCGATGACAACATGAAGATCAAAGGCATAAAACAAACTTCAACAATCAACAACAATTACGTGAAAATAGGAACTTAGTCTTCTGAGTTGATACTTAATACTTGTTTCCTTCTACGTCTGTGTAAGGTCCCACTCCAAGCTCTGAACATTTTGGGACAAAGAAACGGATGTAATTGCATAATTCTTTCTTTGCGTCTACGTCTACACTCTCTTTCGGTTTTATTTGCATAATACTTGGATTTATTTGTCTTTAGTTTTATTTACTTTTCTTCAGTTTTATTTATGTTTAATCTCGGTTTCATAATTTTTATGTGGCTTTTTCATTAAAGAAAGTTGCGGTCTGAAGCCCTAGTCTCCATTTACAGGAGTCAACTTCGGACTCCTCATTTTTAAATGTTTTCTCTATTAATCACCTTCATATTATTTTAAATGATGAATTAACAATATTTTATTTATTTATTTAAAATGATGTTTTTAATTTTTTATACAAAAATTAGATTTATTTTTTTATTGGTTGAATTAGTTGTAGTTGATGATGTTTTTATGTAAAAGAGGTATATCAAGCACAATCAGTGAGGTGATGAAAATGACCAGGAGGAGAAAACACAGACAACCAATTCTCAATCGTGTGGAGGAAGAAGTGAAAAAACAAACACAGAGCCGGAGTGTGCTGGAGCAAGATGTTACTCTTTGGAGAGGACAAGCGGAAATTAATATCAAAGGAGACGTGAGTACAAATTCACGAAGCCAAGCCACTGATGGAAGGTCACAAAGACATCTGGTTCTCGTATGCAACACCAAGGTATGCGTTTATTGTTATTTGGGCTAATTCTGGGCTTTCAACTAAAAACCAATTGGCAATTAGCGGATTGGCCCTAATCCTTTATATATTATTGATTGTCCCATCAAACTTCCGATGTGGGACTTGGATTGTATCTCCAACAATCTCCCCTTCAATCCAAGGACCATATGGATCTAACACGCCTCATCGATCCCTCACTCGGATCGATAATAAACCCCTTTCTCGGGCCCCATTACTCGGGTTGAGGTATGTCCATATCCATTTTTTCTTAGGTCCACCAGACTTTTAACTTTGAACTCTGATACCATGTTAAATTTGGGCTAATTCTGGGCTTCCAACTAAAAACCAATTGGCAATTAGTGGATTGGCCCTAATCCTTTATATATTATTGATTGTCCCATCAAACTTCCGATGTGGGACTTGGATTGTATCTCCAACATTTATAACTTGACTGATGGTAAAAAACAGAATCTCGATAGGGATATGATGATAAAGTGGAACAAAAATGCAAATTCGAACTGTGTGTTTTGTAACTATCCTATGGAAACAAGAGACCACCTGTTTTTATGTGTCCTTATTCGAGAAAGGTGTGGGAAGAGTTAGTGGATGGACTACTCTTAAACAGGTTTACGACAAGCTGGCAAGAAATTTTGAAGATATTGGCAGACAAAGATTACGACAAAACAAAAAGCTTCCTTCTCAAGTATGTGTTTCAGAACGCGGTCCACTCGATATGGAGAGAAAGAAATGAGAGAAGACATGGAGAACAACCATCGATGCCAGAGAAACTCGTTAAGTTAATTGATAAAAATCTTCGAAACAAGATGAGCACAATTCCGAGAAGAGGAGAAAAGAAATATGAAAAGGGTCTACAAGTGTAGTTTGCATCGAGAAATACGACGTTCTACAAGTGTAGTTTGCATCGAGACGACGTCAATGATGAAATAACCATGTAGTTTTTACTAAAAAGTTCGCATTAAGTTGTATAAACGTTTATTTTTCTTTGAATATAATTTAACATTAGATTCAAAATAAAAGAGGTAAATTAAATAAAATTTTTGTGATTTTGTTCTGAAGAGCAAGGATGAGACTCATCCATTATACCTATGTTCTCTTAGACATGTCAATTAGGGCCAAAGCCTGCGGGCTAGCCCGGCCCAGCCCTGAAAAACAGCGGGCTCGGGCTTCAAAATATATATCCAGAAAAAATCGGGCCTTTCGGGCTAAGCCCGTTCGGGCTAAAGGGTTCTTTGGGCTTAGCCCGGCCGGGCTCGGGCTAGCCCGAAAAGCCCTTTAAAAAATATTTTGATCTTTTTTTTTTTGTTAATATTTTCGTTTAATTGTAAGATTTGTTGTAAAAAAAATTTTGATAGAGTTGAAAACCCTAAACATAGTTTTTTCGTTATGTATTACTATAAATTGAAGAAGCAAATATTAGCTCTACTACCTAATTTGAATTATTTTGATTTTATATTTTATCTAGTATAAGTTTAAACAATTTATTTGGATTATTTATTTGATTTTAACTCTCTTTTTAAAAAACTAAATTAGCGTTAGTGGTTATTTAAATTTTGATTGACTCGTTTCATATATAGATTTTTTTTTAAGAGATATTATAAATTATAAGTTTGTTTTTTTGTTGTCGGAAGAAAAGCCCAAAAAAGCCCGGAAAAGCCCTGTAGCCCTGTTAGGGCCGGGCCGGGCTTTAAAATATAGACTCGGAATTTTTACGGGCCGAGCCGGGCCGGACTCAAATATGTACAGGTTTTACGGGCTTCGGGCCGGGCCGGGCTAGCCCGATTGACATGCCTATATTCTCTAAACTGTCTTAATTCTCTTATTGATGTGTTGTGTTTTTTATTAGAATAGGAAACTATATATATATTATTCTCTGTATTTTAGGAATATCTTTATTAGCCTCTAACGGCTATACTCTCTATCTTTGTGTATCTCTGGTGAATAATACATACAGCCCATCGATTGGATTTTACCTAATCAAACATTTTTATCGGTTTTGAGTCTTTGTTTTCTTTCCTAGATCATACATATATATTTTATAGAGTCAAAGTGTGTTTTTAGAGTCTTTTAGTCCTTTATCGAGTTTCTACAGGTTTTAGGTTGCTTCGGAGGAAAACGAGCTGTTTTGGGATATAAACACACATATGGAGATGTAGTTTCGTTTAGAAGTGTCAGACATTTGGCCTCAGATGGAAGACTTTCCACCGTTAGATCTTTCTGAATTTTTGACATAAGCTATATGAAGATGTTAGCTTGATTTTCCAAGTGGTTTAAAGGAAATCTAACGGTGCATTCAAGAGTTATACCCGAATTAGTGAAGACAGGTCATTCTGAAGAGCATTTGAAGCAGTTGCGGAGTTGGAGACCAGAAGATCAAGATCTATCGATCCCATTACCCTGACGGACGAGAATCAGTTTCCAGTGACGCGGGATCGATCGATCCACCCACCGGATCGATCGATCCAACCCCAGACGCCTAGTTTGGTTTTTCTTAACCAGTTTTATTTCCTATTTTCTGTAATTGGGGATAAAAACCCCAAAGACCTAATTTTCTCATTGACGTTTTTTTCTGCAATTTTCTGAGACTTTTCTCTTGTAAGACACTTGAGGATTAGAGATTCATCCATCTTGACAATTTGGAGAAGATTTCTAAACCTTTATCTCATTTATTCAATTGAACTATGTTTCCTTCTTTATCTATTTGTGTTATTCTTTGCAATATGTGTGAGTAGTTCCCCAATTAGGTTCTAGGGTTCTAATTAGGAGATTCAATGGATTGGTGGATTGATTGTTGTTTAGAATTCTCATTCTCTAGGTTCTTTGATTCACATGTTCTTAATGCTAGAATAGGATTGATCACCCTGTTGTAGATTCTAGGTTTTTCATGCATCAAAAGTGTTCGATGGAATGCCTGAAAGAATGTGAATTGAGCAATGTATTTCTAGCCAATAAAAGTTGACGTTAGGACGCATTGTGAACTTAATGAACTTGTTTGATAATGCGAATTTGACTAGGAAATTACATGCGAAAGTTTAGTAATTGAATAGTCAATTTTAGTGATTAATGTCTTGAAAGAGAATTAGTCTAGTTGTGTTCATGTTCAAGAACGGTTCTTAATTGTTGAATTTCTTGTCTCATGTTTCCATTGTTCATTGATCTCTGAAATACCCTATGGCCCAATGTCTTTAAATCTTGAAAGTTAAATCGTTTAATTTATTTGCATTTTTTATTTTACAATCTGAAAACCCAAACAAAACAACTCTTGACTTTAGCTAAGAACAAGTCTCGGAAATCTTTAGTGTACCATTAGTTCTTGTGGATAGACCCCGTATATACTACTTTGCGGTTAAGTGTATCGGATAATTACTCGAGCAATCACTTATGTAGGAGTATGCAACGTATTAAACTGTAATCTAAATAATAATTTTGTGGTATTGATCACATGACTCACGTTCATATTGTGTCTTAGTTCAATGCTTCTTTTAAAAAAATATATATAAATCCCTCTTCGTTCAAATGATTAGTCTAAATATGTAAACTGAATGTAAGAAATTTCTGATATTACCCTTCTGATGTTCCTTTCATGCCTTTGTTGCAAAATTTCGATAACAACATGAAGAGCAAAGGCATAAAACAAAATTCAACAACAGTTACGTGAAAATTGGAACCTAGTCTTCTGAGTTGATACATAATACGGGTTTCCTCCTGCGCCTGTGCAAGGTCCGACTCAAAGCTCTGAACATTTTGGGACAAAGAAAGGGATGTAATTGCATGGTTCTTTCTTTGCGTCTTCGTCTACACTCTCTTTCGGGAAGTTCAGACGGCTTTGGGTTATCGAGTTTGTTTGTCTTGACGAATAAAGCGATGAAGAACCCTTCTTTGTCCTCCACCGGATCCATTCTGAGTAGATGTTCCGCTGCAAGCCAAAGCCAACATGATCAAAATGTTAGAAACAGAGTCAAACAGGTGAGAAACCAGATGGTAAGGGCGATACTTACATCCTGCAAATACAGGGAGACCACGACGCTGCCACTGAGGAAAAGGGGTAGCGAGTTTAAAGCCCAAGGATGAAGCCAGAGCTAAAACGGATGAGACCACATCTTCGTTTTCTATTTGGTGGATGGAGCATGTGCTGTATACTACT